CATCAGAAGAGGCAATAATGGAAAATTGGAAATACAAGTCAGTCATACCAACCAGGTGCTCCACTACCAAAGTAACAATCCAAACCTCTCACAAGAGAAGTTGTGTAAGAACACTATTTAGATGAGCATAAACACACTGCAGCAATTCTGAGCATCAGGAAAAGGAAACAGATTATCTATATAACATCTTCCAACAAAAAGTGTCAGACCATTAAAGCCACTATAGCCCAACCAACAAAAGCTGTGAAAAAATAATACTGTCATATATCAAAAACATCTCAGAAACCAGCAACATACTATTACAAGCACATGATAATTACTATAGCACACAAACCAACTAAAGCCCTTCAAAACATCTTAACCAAAAGGCCCAGCACTCCAAAAGAAAAAAAAAAACAGGATTCATCCACAATATAAAGTGTAACGATTGTAACAGCCACCATATAGGACAAATAGACAGAAGACTAGCAGAATACATCTGTGAAAACCAGCTAACAGTCAAAAGACATGATGAAAACACCTACATTTCACAACACATGGGCAGACTTAACCATAATTTCGACTGGGAAACTAGACCAAGCCAAATCAAAAATGCTAGTGAATTCCTGGAAGCCTGGCACTCAGACAAATTGACCATCAACAGGCATAGAGAGATAAACAATATCTACATTCAAAAGAAACAATCAAAAAGTAAAAAAGGAAACAAAAGAGCCAAAAAAGACCTCCTCAACAGCAATCAACACTGAGATGAACAGAGAGTAACAGTAAGATTAACAATAGACCAACAATCAAGAAGCAAACAATACCCCAGTGAGGGAACTACCAGCTCAGACAAACAAGTTAACAGTAAACTACAGCCTAATCAAGAAACCACCAAGACTACTCCCACCAACACTGATAGGGCAAACCACTAGTATATAAAAAGAGAGCAAACCTCAATCCTTTCCAGCACAGTTGAGTAATGAAACAACTGCAAGAAAATAACCAAGCTCAGAGAGCACCAAGGATCTCACAGTTCAACCTTGAGCTACAAATATTTTCTTCTGTTGGTAGTTAGACAGACAGACTCCTGAACTCATCTACATAATTTATTTCCAGCTTCCTCTTAGGTTAGAAAGAATAAAAGGAGGTATGTGTATCATTCTGCACAAAAAATGTCAGCTTCCAACATATTTTTTTTATGTTTTTAGGAATGATTTTGTACCCTGATATTGTACTTAAAGATGTTCAGTCAGGTGGTCACAAAATAGTTACTGATTCAAATAATTAATTTTGTTTTAGTATTATTCGTTTTAAAATAAATGAGACCAACTCTCAAATAGTTTGTATCATTTTTTGTGCCCCTACCTTGCAACTTCCACAGTATTTTTTATTATTATTGCCATGATCATCATGATCAATATCTAGTCTGCATATGAGCAGTCAACGAGGGGGGGGGGGTGCTGCATTTAATGGGCATTTAGATATGAAATATGCAATGAAATTCCTGCTCTCCATAGTGACAACAGATGAATATGCTTGTTGTCTGCACTCTGGATTTCAAAATGTATTGTTGTAGGAAACTAAATATCTCCAATACTCTCTGTGTATAGAGAAACATAAGGAAAACATCTATAGTGGCTTTTAAAATAAGTTATTGCAATAACAATCAATAATAAACACATTCCTTCTCCCTCTCCATTGCAGCACTTCTTTAAAGCATCCATTGAATTCATGGTTCTGAAATGTACTTAGTCCTTTAGGGCTGTTAGGAACCATTTGGATTTTCAACTTCATGGGTTGCCTAGCACATGGCAATGACAAACAATTAACACATTCTGAAGATCTTTCATGGATGTTTCTAGTAATCCTGGGATTCAAATGTTATTAGTCTCCCAAGAGCTTTGGAAAGTTCAAATTTTTCCTGCCTGTGTTATCCTTTCCCAGGGCACCAACAGCTGTTTTCCTTCTAATAGCTTTGTTCTAGCAGCCTTGTCCTAGTTTGTCTCCATAGAGTTTCTAATGGCCTCTGCAGATTCCTCTGTAGTTATAAATTTAACTTTCTCTTATACTAATTATTATGCCTAGAAGGAAATAAGGGCTGATTTAGAGGAGCAAATTACAGTACAGGGCAAATATGAAATTCAGATCTGTGTGGTTCTATCAACTTGGACTGAGTGGACTTCAGCAAAATCATTATCTTAGAGTCAAAACTAGATTGGAATAAGGCTATGGGAATAAAAATATGCCCAAATGGCATGTTTTATTACCATCTGCTTTTGTTTGTCAAACAAGAAGTCTCAGCCTTACCAGTACAATGACCACACACTGAGAGTGGGCATCTGATACTTCATTAGAGGAAAGCATACTTGTCTTATAACTTTTCTTTAGTTCCATAGCTGGGACTAAATCCTTCCTTCTAGCCATGATCTTAAACTTCATTAATTACAAGCTTTTCTCTCTCTCATTTCTGAACTTCTTGGGTGATTTCCCCCATATATTCATTAATCAAGGCACCTTGTTAAATTTATAATAATAATAATAATAATAATAATAATAATAATAATAATAATAGTAGTAGTAGTAGTAGTAGTAGTAGTAGTAGTAGTAGTAGTAGTAGTAAAGTTGGAAGGGACCTTGGAGGTCATCTAGTCCAACCCCCTGCTCGGGCAGGAAACCCTACACCATTTCGGACAAATGGCTGTCCAGTCTCTTCTTAAAAACTTCCAGTGTTGGAGCAGTTACTGCTTCTGGAGGCAAGCTGTTCCACGGATTAATTGTTCTCACTGTCAGGAAGTTTCTCCTTAGTTCTAGGTTGCTTCTCTCCTTGATTAGTTTCCACCCGTTGCTTCTTGTCCTGCCTTCAGGTGCTTTGGAAAATAGCTTATTCCCTCTTCTTTATGGCAGCCCCTGAGATATTGGAATACTGCTATCATGTCCCCCCTTGTCCTTCTCTTCGTTAAACTAGACATACCCAATTCCAGCAACCATTCTTCATAAGTTTTAGCCTCCAGTCCCCTAATCATCTTTGTTGCTCTTCTCTGTACCTTTTCTAGAGTCTCAACATCTTTTTTACGTCATGGTGACCAAAAGTGGATGCAGTATTCCAAGTGTGGCCTTACCAAGGCATTATACAGTGGTATTAATACTTCATGTGATCTTGATTCTATCCCTTTGTTAATATATTGTGTTGGCCTTTTTGGCAGCTGCAGCACACTGCTGGCTCATATTTAAGTGTTTGTCCACTAGGACTCTGAGATCCCTCTCACAGTTACTACTATTGAACAAGATACCCCTATACTATACCTGTACATTTGGTTTTTCTTGCCTAAATGTAGAACCTTACTTTTTTCACCATTGAATTTCGTTTTGTTAGATAGCACCCAGTGTTCAAGTCTGTCCAAATCCTCCTGTATCCTAAGCCTGTCTTCTGGAGTGTTGGTTATTCTTGCCAGCTTGGTATTGTCTGCAAATTTAATGATTTCCCCATCTATCCCCTCGTCCAAAACGAGAACCTTGGGGCACCCCACTACACACTTCCCTCCATGTAGATGAGGTTCCATTGAGGACTACACGCTGAGTACGGCCGGTCAGCCAGCTATGGATCCATCTGGTGGTGATGCTGTCTACCCCACATTTTTCTATCTTATCAAGTAGTAGGCTGTGATCTACTTTATCAAATGCCTTACTGAAGTCCAAGTAAATTATATCCACAGCATTCCTCTGATCCACTAATTTTGTCACTTAGTCAAAGAATGCAATAATATTTGTCTAGCATGATCTGTTTTTGACAAACCCATGTTGGCTTTTAGTAATGACTTCGTTTGCCTCTAGGTGTTCACTGATTCATTGTTTGATTATCTTTTCCAGAATCTTCCCAGGTATTGAGGTCAGGCTGATAGGTCTATAATTTCCTGGGTCCATTTTTTTTTCCTTTTTTGAAGATGGGAACAACATCAGCTCTTTTCCATATAGAAGACAACATTGATAGACCCAATTGGGGTCTCTCTCTGCTCTAAAGCTTATAATGTCAAGTCTGATAGAAAGTTGGATAGGGTTACCAAAACTGGCAGCCACAATCCAACATTACAGCAAAGATACAAAACTCCTTCATGCCATCTAGTGATCATCTGGATTTTTTTAGTCTATTTTTTTTCAAGAATCTCTCCCTCCCCCACTTAAATACTAGTCATCATGTTATATACAATTTGTATGAAAGTTTGTCAAATTTCAGAAATGATTTATTATGTTGATAAATGCTAAAATTATTTATCATATCAAAAAGGGTTCAAAACATATTATCGAAGAGTTAGGAAAGGATGATATCCCATGATTCTAGATTTAATGTGATTTTAGAACAAAAAGAAAAAACTTAAAATATGAGTAAGTTCATTTTGTTTTATCTAAATTTGGGTGAAATGGTTGTCTACTCTACAATACCATTATATTATGCTTATAATGAAAAGATGCACATATCATTCTTTGGAGTTCTTCAAAGTATTATGGTGTCAAAAATACATAGGAGAATCTTTGGCTGAAGAGCAGTTAAATCCAAAGTTTGTTGTGCTGACAATAGTAGTAGGTGGAAAAGAGAGGCATAGCAGGAATGCATCTTTTTTTTTCTTTTTTTAAGGGACAGTGAAGTTTTGTCCCTGTTCCAGGAAGGAAGTAACATTCAAGAAAACCGTAGCATCTTTGAAATGGGACAAAATATCCCAAATCCGACAGTATTAATTGAAATATGCCAGATGTGGCAAAGGAAATAGGAACTTATAGCTCTCCCTGATGAGGTAGGAGAATATGGGGACACCCACACCTTAATATGGCCTTTGAAATGGATCCTAAGTTTAGATACATTTGTTGTACCAATGAGTTATTTTTTCTCTCATATTTGGAATTGAGGGAAAAAGGGAATCCTCTGTTATCTTTACTCTTCTATCTATTCTTAGAAAACAAGGATGTAAAGTATAAATATAAGGCAACCCCCTCCTCACTTATTATTGAGCAGTTAACACATAAAATGCAGTTTCAAAACAATCTTTATTCATGTTGAAGACCTAGTACAATTTTTAAAGCAACTTAAAAACAGGACACAGCTCCATCAATTTCAGAAAGCCAACAACACTTTTTTAGGAGGCGCATTTGTTAATATTGTCTTTTAAAGACAATGTGCAACATCCATTTAGCCTCTGCCTCCCTAAAAAAAAATAGAAATGTTTTTAATGTTTTAAAGACATTTAACAAAATAGAGCTTATTTTTTAAGGGGAGAAACTAAGAATAAAAATAGCAGCATTTTGGGCAGCTAATGCAGTCTCATAGGGACAAATGGCACTGTAGCTCTTCCCTAATTTTGTATGTGACCTGTTTTCATCAGTTTTTACTAAAATTGTTTTGTACAAAAACTAAAAATATTATATTTTGAGCCATGTCCCATGGGAGGCATTGTGCTTGGAATTGCCCATTTCAAAAGCAATCCTGAATAAAAGTCACAATTGGAATTGCTTTCTCAAATGAATACCATGCATAGCAAAAGCAGTGTGTTAAATCTAACTGATTTTCTCCCCAGTGAAAAACATCACAATGATATTTTCCCCAAGCATCATAACTCATTGTTAACTACAAGACAAAGCAACTTTTTCTACATAACAGCTGACACTGAAACATAAGATTTGGCTTTACACATTAAAACAAATTCTAGAAACATGATCTTTTCCAAGCTCCATATACCTTTTAAATAAGATAAGGTCAAGTCTCCAATGAAACCAGCTTGATTTTCTGAACTCCACCATATATAACTTTCTTGACAATAATTTGGACATTTGCCAAAATAGTTTGCCACTGGATTTTTTTTCTTTTATTACCCAGTCTAGCCTGCATACACCCATATATCATCAATCTTTTTTTCAGTGAAGCTTTAATTTGAAGATATATCAGTTTGCATGTTTCTTTTCAATAAAAGAGAAGTTAAAATATGCTGACTTTAATATGAGAATTGCACGTACAGCAAACTTTCTCTTTATTCAAGTATCATTTATAAAATAAAAATTTAATTTTCTGAATTGAATTAAAATCTCCTATGATTTTTATTTCATTTAACATGAAAAATAAGTTTACAGAATTCTTAAGAGTAATCATTAACATGAATAATAACTAAGCCTTGAAAGACCCTGTCAACGTAATTCCTTCCAGGCTATTTAGAGACTTAGGAAATTGGGAGAAAAGTTTCACTATGCATTTAGATTCACTGAAAACTGCAATCAGAACATGGCCCATTTATACACTCTCTCTTTCACAAACACATATACAGAAGTACATCAAAACCACAAAACTAAGCCTCAAGTTATAGAATCCATAACTTGTTTTGTCTGAAGTAGTTGTATTCATGGTATAAACATAGTAGTTCATATTTCAGAAGCCCTGTTATGTTATTGTTGTAGCTCAGAAGTTTTGGATTTGTCTCTCTGCATTCTCAGAGAGGGGGAGACATGCACACAAACAATTATTTTGTGTATGTACCGAATGTTGGATTGGTAACCAAGGGTCCTGTGCATGCAGTTCTCAAGACTTGATCACTATATTCAACCTAGCTCCTGAGGCTACTTGTATGGTTCTCAGAAGAATACCAACAATGCACAGCACTAAATGGTAAATGAAACACTGCTGATCAGCTGGCTTTTGTTTTAACATGGAAGGACAGAAGCTAGGCCCCATCTATTCCCCATCAAAGGGACCTAGAGGTAATCAGAACTGATAAAGCCAATTAGATGATGACAAATCAGGTGTAGGACCCACTGATGCACATCAATCTCTCTGTCTCTCTCACACACAAAGTGCATGTTAGTAAATTAGTTTCTATTCAGTCACTGGTCATAATTTGCCCTTCCAAGAATAAACAAGAGCAAAATGCAGATTCCTTCCTCTTGAAAAATCTAGTGGGAAGAATAAACAAACTGATTAAATTGGCAAATTTGTCTTGATCTTTGCTCCGTGAAATAAATGCAATTTTCAGTCTATTTCCTTTGGAGTACATTTTGGGAGTAATTCCACTGAATTTAGTGAGACTTTAGTGAGACTAAACACCAGGGGATTACTGCTTTATAGCCCACAAACAAACTTCTACTGGGCTCTCCAGTGCTTGTAAAATCCCCATTGGCTTTTGAAGTGTCTCAAGTCTGCATATTTCTCAGGAAATTCTAAACATTCTAAAAAAATGTTTCCAATATAAAATATACCGGTAAATAAAAACAAGAAGACTAAAGCTAATTTATTCATAGTGTTACCTAACAATAAAAATACATCTAGAATAGTCTTTAATGCCTCTTTAGAAACACAGATTGCCTATGGGATTGAAACCATAAAGAGCTCTTCCATAAGATCTACTTTCTTTTTGCTTATTCACCATATAAAAGTCTTCCAGAGTTCCTTAACATTAATCTATGAAACTATAAAACACATCATGATTTTTATTGTGTTGGTCAAGATATGTAGAATTTGGTTAAATACTGTAACACTGAGGTTTATATTTCTTTCATTAACTTAATTACATGGGTACCTGATATATTTGTTCTTTAGGGTGACTTTTTAATTTTTCTTTCCTTCATTTAAAATGTAAAAACTAAATGTATATCTAATTGTTTATTTTTAAAGAGTAGCTGAAAAACAATTCTTCCATGGGATGCAAAATATATCTTGATGCAGTGTCTAAAATGGTTGTTTAAAATTACATGACAAATAATTCTGAAGGATTAAATTTGGTACTTTAGTAGTCAATGTTTTTCACCTGCTTATCTGCAACATTCAAAGTAGAATCTCTTTCCAATAAACGCAATCAAGATAATAATCTAAAAACTAAATAAAATATAGTGGATACCATTATGTGAAGATATTTTTAAAACAATATTGTTGGACTCAAGTGATATTTTTGCAATAGTCATTTATTTTTATTGAATAAAGCAGCTTTTAAGCTTATCAGGCACTGCCCAACAAATATTTAGCTGAGAAATTAATCTTGAATTGTAACCTTGAGCTAGCAGCTCAATATGCTACCAAAAGGGGAAAAACCCTGTTAAAAATAGTTCATAGTTTTAATTCTGAAGCCATCTTTTGCCAATATCCTGTACATTTATTTAAAAAAAAGGAGGGGGGGAAGGGAAAGAGGACAACATGAAAACACAAAAAAATATGAGCTATGAAAACATGTTGAGATGACATAAGAAAAAAAAATAGAAACAGCTTATCCTTTAATTACACATGAAACAAATAAAGCCTATAGAAAATCAAGTATTGCATAGCAGTGTAAGGATTCGGCTTTTTTTGGGGGGGGGGGGAATCCAAACAAAAAAGTGAATAGAATGAGTTGGTACTGACAGTATCCATCTATGATAGTCATCCTGAACTATGTACATATTATATACTGCTTGTCATAAAAGTCCAGTTCTCTTCAGTCTTAAATACCTTAAAACAAGATTTTAAATGTCTAAACAAAAACACTTCCTGGCACTTCTATTACCACGCTCATTTCTCCAACGAACACCCTGTCAGAGTCTTAAAGTGTCCCTTAAAATTGAAAGTGCCATTCTGCTACATATCATTCACCAGAAAATCAGCAATCCACAATGCTGGCAACTGCATCCACTGCACACTGCACACCGCATCATCCACGTCATGACTGAGAAATTCCGCTGCCATTTACATGGCTCCCGCTGCACGTTGGGGTCTCCAAAGTTCCAACTTTAGAGCTCGTAAAACTTCAAAGGGATGGTCAGTAAGCACCATGATTAAAGGCCACTATGTCCCTGCAGGGAGACAGGTGTAGCATTTCTCTCTTTCGATGCATTTTTACTTTCGCTTAGTTTTTTTTAAAGCACTTTAGATTAGAAGTGTGTGTCCATAGCTCTCAACCGTGACCTCTCCCACTGCAGTTGTGAAGAAAGCTTCAGTTCCATTTGAAGGCTCTGACACCTTAGCTCCAACTCATAAGCCTTCTTTACCCAGAAGCCTCAAGACTGCCGAATTAACTTTGTGGGTATTTAATAAAAAGAGATAACCCCAAAGGATTAACATCTTCATCGCCTTTGCTGTGCATATACTGGATAGGCTAATGTGACATTGAGAGAGTCATTGTGCTGCACTAATGAAGTATGCTGATAATGTAGCACCAGTTCTTTCAGCGTGTTGTACAAGTTATATGGCTCTGCAAATCCATACCCAGTAGGTGTTTTGTTAATGACACAATGCTTCACTTCACTGTCCACACTAAAAAGGAAAAAAAAAGGATTTTAAAAAAAATGTTGCTAAGACACATTTTCTTATATAATTTGTTCTTGATATAACATTACAGCAATATTCTTTGACCCATTACTGTAACCCTATCATTGTTTTCATTTAATCAGTAATACTGCATTGCACTGTCCTTCTATCATAGGTATATAAATTTGCCTTTCTCTATAATTCTTCCAGTATCATTCCACATATTTCTTATAGATCTCAGATTTCAGTGCTATTCAAATTTACCAGTGCTTTGCAGAAAATTGGTCCCCATGGCTGATGGAAGATTGTCTTTATCAGCAGTAGGAAGACAAGCAGTTTTGGCAAATGTTCCTCACTCCACAACCCTGATCCTGCTTTGAAGAATTCCTCAATTCTCCAAAGAGTTTTGGCAACTGCAAGAGGAGTCTGAGTGGATGAATGAAACTGCTAAAAATCATCACGTTCTGATGCAAGCCTCCACTGAATATGTGTCAGTTGGGGAAGCCCAACTGCACACAGCCCCTAAGGGCTTATAAAATCAACTGTTATTAAGGAAGCCAAAAACCAAACCATTTTAAACATGAAGAAAGCTTATAAATTAATATTCTCTAGAAATAAATTTAGCTGCTAGGCGTAGAGCACTAGGCGGGGTTTGATGGGCATTCAGAGTTTAAATGCATGGCACCATGCAAACAAATGCTTAATAAGAGAGAGGAACATTACAAAATAGGGGTACAGTTGGATCTCTGTAATATTATGAACAAAGTTAGCTAGAGTAGGTTGGTGGAAAAAATACATATAATCCTCGTTCAATAACGGTTTAAAGTTATGAGATACTAAACAAGAGGGATTAATGAGCAGTCTATGAAGTTGTGGCTGTCTCAACATTCCAGGATCATATGATCACAAACTCGGCCTTTGGTAACCAGCTTGCAGATGTATGCAGTATCCCATGGTCATGTGATCACCATTTGCAACCTTCCATGCTGGTTTCTCACAAGCAATGTCAATGGTGAAGCTGGCAGGAGGTTTCAAGTTATTCCCACTACTTTTTTGCCAGCCTACTCACATTCCAAACCCAACTTTCCATGCTCTGCGCCTGTAGTCACTGGACATCTGGCTGCACTCTGTAGTGTCTGTCTACAGAACCCACCTGCCCATCTACAGCTCTGTTTGCTTGGGTTTTTCACCTCTTCCCATGTTAGTCATGTGAGGTCCTTGCTTAACAATCTGTGCAGTCCTAGAGTTACAATGGCAACCAAGTCTGCTGGGATTGCCATCACTAAGCAAAGTGATTGAGACTGTATCACTTAGCGACAGAAATTCCAGTCACAATTGTTGGACTAGTTGTAATCTGGTAATTAACACACTTTGCAAAGAATATTTATATTTATGACCTTCACGTAGCTTCACAACATAGCTTCACAACAACTGTTTGCTGAAAAGCTGTTGCCCATGTCTTGAAGACTTCATTATCAACTATTTCAAGCCAGAAAACCAGTATTACAATAATCCTTTGAAGAGCAATCCAATGAGATGCATGGATCCAAGCTTTGGTTAATCATCACAGAGAGGGAATGAGGGAGTTCAATACATTGCTGAAGAAACAGGGTAAATATTTGAATACATACACAACAGAACAGGCATAGCAACCCTGCTTGCTGCTTTCCCGAACAAGGAATGTTCCATCTCGTTTCCCACGTAACAAATTTTCAGCTTGGCTTCTGTTGATATTTCCAACATTCCATGTACGTTCATCATGATGGGGCAAATCCTCATCATCTTCTACTATAGAATATTGGCTGTTCAGAAGCAACACGAGACAGTTAAAAACCAGAAATAATAAAAGACCAAGCATAATACAAGAATTTGTAACAAAATTAAAATCAAATTGTTTGACCCAAGGCAGTTTTGTCAACTACAAGGACTATTTCTAGATTTTCAGAGAAGGCAATATTACATAACTTGACATTCTTCTCTCTCTGTCTGATGTAAAAAAGATGTTGAGACTCTAGAAAGAGTGCAGAGAAGAGCAACAAAGATGATCAGGGGACTGGAAGCTTAAACCTATGAAGAATGGTTGCTGAAATTGGGTATGTCTAATTTAATGAAGAGAAGGACTAGGGGCGACATGATAGCAGTGTTCTGATATCTCAGGGATTGCCACAAAAAAGAGGGAATCAAACTATTCTCCAAAGCACCTGAAGGCAGGACAAGAAGCAATGGATGGAAACTAATCAAAGACAGAAGCAACCTAGAACTAAAGAGAAATTTCCTGACAGTCAGAACAATTAATCAGTGGAACAATCTGCCTCCAGAAGTTTGAATGCTCCAACACTGGAAGTTTTTAAGAACAGATTGGACAACCATTTGTCTGAAATGGTATAAGGTTTCCTGCCTGAGCAGGGGGTTGGACTAGAAGACCTCCAAGGTCCCCTCCAATTCTGTTGTTCTATTCTCTTCTATTCTATCCATAAATTTTAGTTTTATACAAATAAATCTGTTACTTTTTACTTTCCCGATATAACATATATATATATATATATATATATACACACACACACACACACATGCATACATACACACATATATATCTTATATATATCTTATATATATATGTGTGTGTGTGTGTGTGTGTGTGTGTGTATCTTAGAAATAATACATTTAGATTTTGGAAAAGAACAACCCACTTAAAATAAGTAGGACAGTGCAATATTTTGGGCTTCATTTCAAAAAGATGCCTCAAAACATGTGGATAACCCACCATATTACCTCTATGCAATAATCAGAATCTACCTGAGATAACATACACACACAGAGAAATATTTTGGATACTCACTCTTCTGAATTTTCATTGCCAAGCCATTCATTCAGTTTCTTTTGCCGAACACCTTTCTGTGTCAGCCACCTACAAAGCAGTTTTGAAAACACAGTTAATCAAGATAACGCTCAACTGAAAGAAGTGCACATAAAAGGCTGGAATTCACAAATACTTACATCAAGTACTGATCTCTAGTTTTTCGGAGCTGTATAAGATCTGGCTTAATGCTGTTCATGCGTTTGTCTATTTCTCTGTATTCTGCAGCCTGCTTCTTTAGGTCTTCTTCCAGTCGATGTCGACTGTCCACAATTTCACTGATTCGAGATTTCAGCTTTTCATAGTTGTGCATAATTCTGGACAAAATAATTTGGCATGTTTACATCCCATTCTGGTCTCTAGTTTTTCTGAAGACATTTAGATATTAAATATATATACTTTTGAAGCACTCTAACCAACCTTTGTATTTCTTTTTCATTCCCTTCCCGTTTGAACTTTTCAATATATTCCTTGCTGTATCTTTCTTGTGTTTGGCACTGTTCTTCAAATATTTTTATGGTTTCATTAAATGCTTCAATAGCAGTTCTTTTCATTTGAATTTCCTGGATAAAAGGAAAAACTGTTTAATAATACTTTAAGAGTGACTAATTGTGTAATACTGAACCAGTTTTATGATATGATTTTTAAAAAAGAGTATCACTAAAGGATAGGATACAAAAAGATGTCTTGTATAGCATTTATTAGTTCACTATTATCTTCTACAACAAGAGGTGGCTTTCCAAGAGTTTAGTCTAGTCCAATGATGGCAAAGCTTTTAGAGACCGAGTGCCCAAAGTGCAACCCAAAACTCACTTATGTATCATCGGGTGCCAGGTGGGAGTGGTCCATTGGATGGGTGTGGCCCATTGGGTGGGCGTGGTTGTGGTGGTAACAGCAGACTGGGTGGGACTAAAAAGTTCAATCAATCAATTCCAACTTTGCAAGATCTTTTTTTTTTTCATGAGAAGTTGAAATTGATTGATTGATCGAACCTCTTTTTTTGCACACGGCGACGGAGGCCTAAATCAAAAAGGATTTACAAAACCCAGCTGAAGGCCTAGGACTGAGGCGACGGTGTGCGTGCCCACAGAGAGGGCTCTGCGTGCCACCTGTGGCACACATGCCATAGGTTCGCCACCACCGGTCTAGTCTATTCCAAGCCTAATTGGAAATAGTGTAGATTAAGCCTGGAAGATTTTGCATGCAGAGGATGTGCTATTGTCACAAAATATTTGCTACATTTATAGTTCTTCTTTGTGATTGATGTACAGATACCTTATTATCCATCCTATTTTTTAAATCATTGGCATTCAAAAATAATCTTTTCTATGTATAACATGTATAGCAGGGGTCCCCAACCCCTGGTCCGTGGACTAGTACCGGGCCCCGGCATGCCAGCAACCGGTCCACACAAACAAGCAAAGCCTCATCTTCGGGATGCAGGTAGCACACAAAACCACACTCCCTCTAGTCCACAGAAAAACCTCTCTCCATGGAACTGGTCCCTGGCGCCCAAAAGGTTGGGGATCTCTGATGTATAGTATGTAAGCATTCAAGGAATATCTTAAGAGAAATTGTTATCAAAATATTTGAAATAATTCTTTAGATCACTGTACTTCTCTAATTTAAATAGGTCTACATATTTGTATTTATATAGACATGATTTTCTTGTAATATATTGTTATAATGTGAACATTTCAGCTAAATAATTCTAAGTCATTAGATTTTCTGTGGTTATAATGTGCTTGATTTTAAAGAAAACATTACTGGTTTACTGCTGAAATTACTGTTGGAGACCATAGCAACGCATAAGTAATACTTGGATGGTTTAGCACTATTAATCAATCCCAGTCTTGCTTCAAACCAGTTTTTAAAACTGAAACTGAAAGGTCAGGATTTAGCCTCAAACTCCATCAAACTGAACTTCACTGAATTAATGGGTCTATTGGATAAACCGCTTTATATTTTAAATTGTAATTGATATTCAACACTGCTAACCTGAGATGTTCTTGTATAATCTTCATAGAGTCTGTCATATTCTCTGTTCTTTTCTTGGAACTGAATATTATATTCATGTAATTTCTTTCCAACAGCTTCAATACTATCTTCTTTAACCACTTGATCCTAGGAGGATAAATACATGGAAATACTTTCAATGAACGCAGATCCTTTTCATAAAACAGCAATCAACCAAAGTTCATAGTTTGCAAAAGAATGATCATGCTAAAGCTCGTGGAATAGTTTCTGCACAGAACAAAAACCATTACTTATAATGCTGCCACCACAGGCAGGGCTCCAGGACATCTCTTGCTGTGGGATAAATGGATGTGTTTATTACACTAATAAGTTATTGCACGTGAACCTTTCTTTTGTTCAGACATTTTTATTTATTTGCTACTAAAAATTAATAGTGATCATTGTGGAATTAGGCTTGATATACAAATTAGCTCATAATTATCAACATAAAGATAATTTTTCACCCTTCATCCTTCACACCTGAAACACATATTCCAAGTGTGAAGCTATATCAGCTATCAATTTGCAAAAACAAAAAGCAACAACAAAAATCTTCCTTGGTTAACCTTAGAAAATATTTCATGACAGGCAGGAACCCAGAATTTACTTCCAATAAAATGAACATATTAATTTTTTAAAATAAGAATTGTTTGCAGAATTTCAGTGTAATTTCCATAGCATTACTGTTGTTCACATATTTTTTGTTATAATTTCCACAGGATTAACTTTAAGAGTTTTGAGTTGCCACATCTACAAAATAATTTAAGGTTTTATGTAATTTATTAGTATTCATGCAGCAAAGAGAAAGGAAATAAGATATATACGTTACCTGTTGATATTTGGATACTGGATAAAGTAATTTTACATCCAGTTTTGGATTATATTGAGCTAAAGACTCATTTCGATAGTGGTTTATTAGCTCAACCACAGAACTGAATGTTAATGGATCCGAAAAACCATATTTCCCATCTCGATGAAAGATTTTGATTAATTTATTATTTCCCCCTTTCCTGTAAAGTTCAGAAAAAAAAGATTCAGCTATATTCATGATTATTTTTTTCTTCTGTAGTGTGATGTAAAGATGATACCTGATTCAGCTGTTTTTACCTTAGTGTGAGAGTGTAGTCACCATGCATTTTGGTGGAGGCATCTCGTACCAGGAATGTACCATCAGCAGTGTCACGAAGTTTCTCATTGACTTCTTCCCTATTAAGGAACCAAAAGCAACCTCAGATTTAATTTCTTCAAGAAAGAGCACCCTTTTGCACAACCTTCCTAATTTTTTCTGACTGCAAGGTAAGCATTGGAATTTTGAGTTATTATAATGACATTATTCTTTTTGCTCAAAAATTATATAAAGGATAGATATATTTTGTATTTCTAGTCTTATGCATTAACATAATGATTTTTAGATGTAAAAATCTAGATGTATCTATTCTAGATATGCTTGCAATAAAAGCAAAATAGCATAGAAATGTTTAATGAATCTCTGTTATTTTTTATTTTTGGCAATGTATGTGTCCAGATATTTTTAAATATTTTATATGTTGTGCACCCAGAAACTGTAATACAAATGCTTTAAAACTATCACAAGATAGTGCAGGTTAAACACATGTATGTATAATCACCAAGATAAAAGATTTTTTTTCTCTCACCTTGAAATATCTCCCCAGTACCATTCAGCATCTTGCAAAGACATGTTATTATTCATACCGTTATTTGTTACAGTGTTAGGTTTTGGAGGCTTTGGAGGCAATGCTGCAATGAAATTTAAAAAGAAAATAGCTTAACCTGCAGGCAATATAATTTTAAGTGCTTTAATGAATCTATGTTTAATTTACATCTAATTAAATTATTGCAAGTTGAATTTTCATTTTTTTGTCATCTGCCATATTTTTCAACTTGTCATTAACCAGTCCAAATAGCATGCCTGCAAAATTAATTCCTTAACAAAAACAACAAAAAAGATACTAATTTACCAGACTTGCAGGTGATTTTTTTTTCTGGGTATAAGACTGCAGCCTCTGTTATCTGACAGTCTTATGCTTCCAAGTCAAGAGCCCCTCCCCCCTCCATCTAGAACACAACACAATTTAGACTTCCAAACGTATAAACTGAAGTTAGTCTCCTCCTCATGCTACATCCTTTTGTTACTAATTTTTTTGTGCATCACTTTATATAATGCAATGTTTTAAGCCCTCTTCCCCCAATTTAATTACCAGGAGGAATTGTTTGGCTATTAACTCCAGAACTGCTGTGGTTTAAGAACAAATCAGCAAATCATCAGTACTACTACATGTTTTAGCACATCATCTGGGTTTCTTATGCCTCTTTTCATAACGTACTGTCTCCAAACACTTTAAGGAAGAAGTCTGTGACCCAGATATCCCTTGCCTTAATCCGAGCAGTCTGTAGGATAAAACTCTTTCAAATGGCAAGATTGATTCAAGCCACATACTTCTCTGTTGCTCAATGTCAAGGCTGCATACATACACCCGTGGGTGGAAAAAAAAAATACTGCAGCATTCCCTGGCTTATCAGCTAAAAGGGGTCATTATTTAAAATAATAAACATCAAGCAAGTTCACTCATGCCTTTGCCCACTAAACACATTTATAAAACATGCAAATAAAAATGACAATTGCATATTCAGAGGCTTAAGGAAAAGTAACAATCTGCACATCCTGTGCTAAATGCTTGCAGATAAGCAGGATCACATCTAATAAACTGTTACAGTGACTAACAATTTTAAACGCGAGCATTGTTTTAAAAAAATGCCCGATTGCATTCTGAGTCAATCATGATGCACAAATCAGGACCCCCTTTTCTGTATGACCACAGACCTACAGGTGAAAGTATGAAACTAAAACAGAAACATACAACAATTGCAGTTTCATCTAACAAGGAAAAAAGGAATTTGCAGAAACCCCCTTCCTGATTCCCTTTTTCTGTGTACGAAACACAACTGAACAATATCACAAAATTCCTCCTAAACATTTCACCCTGCTCTAATAACAGCAACTGTAACATCCAGAATATGCTTGCCTTTTAAATAATAATGCTGCAGTGTAATTTACCATTACCTGGTGGGTCCATTTCTATGTAAAAAATTAAGTCTGTGCCACAGTTTACATCTGTCCTAGGATACTCTAGATCCACTTCTTCCATGTTCCAGACTGTGTTGTACATTTGTATGACTTTCAGCAAGAAAGCTCAGTTAAAACGAAACAGTCAGGATCTCTTTGTAATGGTGTCTTGGAATTCATTTTAAAACCTCTAAGGGGCTGCACTGTAACCTATTACATCATAATCCCCAGCCAATCATGTCAAAAATAATGTCACTGGACCACTCCTATTTCATCATTTTTGTTATTCATTGTTAATCTTATAACAATTGTCATTTCAGAAAGAGCAGGCACTAATGATCGGCACCTGATCTTATTTATTAAAAAAGACTGAACGGGTTTCTCAGTTTACACAGATTTCCCCCCCCCCTCCCCCTTAATCTTTTCTGTCTGGCATTTGGTACATTCCACTGCTGGCAGGTTGACAAAGGGTGATATGCTGCAGCAGGAAACCTTCTCTTTCACTACTGTGGGATTCTTGGTCGATGGAGAGCTACTTCCCTTCTAGACACAGCAATGCAACACCAGGGCATTGTTTAGCTTTGACGGTGGTGCTTTTAAAGGAAGAGGCAGAAACCAGAAATCTCAAGAGGTATTGCTCAATGCCTATTTTATGGATATTTGGTTGTGAATAGGCTTTATCCTAATAAAATGTTCTTGGGTGTCATTTGCTTCTAAGTAGGTTCAACATAGGTCATTATTTACAGGATATTTTAACTGCAAGTCCTAGCTTTAGGGATTAACATTCTAAATAGCTTTATTTTAAAAATGAAGAACAAAAAAGACTCGGCTGCAGCAAGGGAGAAAAATCAACCACTGCCTTGTAGGTGACTTTCCAGCTCGTAAATGTTTGGGGAATACTCTTTCAATGTACTTGATTTACATGGATTTAGCTGACTTGATTCCATAATTTGCCAGTTTTGCCATTCTTAAACAAAATTTTTGTGATAATCAGTTTATCAGACTTCATGTTTCCTCAAGCCCTGAAAAATTTCTCAGCTAAAACAAACCAAAAACAAAGTTCTTTTTTAAAAAAATAATAATTTTTTCTCTAGCCTTCAGAAAAGTCTCTCGTATTATACAACTTGTTATGAGTTGCATTCTGAATATATAACAGTTTCACATGTGAAGGCCGGACACAGAGAGTACTGAACTCAGTAGTGCAAGTATTGCTACACAAATGATTGCACTGGTATTGTTAAGAGTTTTGTCCTGCAACAACAGAGCCAGGAATTTTACAATCAAAGCAGTGCATATATAAGAATCATCTCGTGACCCACTTTTATCTTCTGAAAGAACCAACATTTTGCACCATATTGGCAAATGCATGCACGAACTCATCACCTCTACCCTACCACAGCCATGCTTAAGCCCATCCTGAAGCAGCTTTCCTACCCTTCCCCATCCAGTTAGGTGGACGGACTCCAGAGATTCCTTCCACTTGTTTCAAGTAACAGGACACTTCAGAGAATCCCAGACACAAGCCCGAACAGCGAAGCTCAGGGTTTAGCCCACCTGCTACCCAAATAGCTCTGTCGCCAAAGCACATTGCTTACATAGGTTGTGTGAGATAGAAAGGAACACAACTAACTATTAATCAGTTCTTTCTCTCTCTCTCTTTGTATTTCTCTGAAATAGGTTTCCGCAAAATACATCTTACAGGTGGGAGAAGAGGATTTTCTTATACTATTGGCTAAATTCTAGACAGCTGCACTTGTATGACCAAGTTACTGCTTAACCCAAACTAGTCTAGCTTGCTATGACATCACATGGCAAACCAGAAAGAGCGAGATTCTAACAAACCAGTGATTTTCCACAGTTCCAGCGTATGTTGGACAGGTTTCATTAAAGCACATTTTGACTATTAAAGCATAACTATTTAATCTGCTTGACTGCAGCATATATTATTCTAATTGTGATAGACTGATAAATATTCACATATATGTAAATTTACACACACAAACACATATACCTGAGTTCTTTCCTTTAAAGAATCAGTTTATCTGTCTCATTACTTCAAATTAAATCAAGAATTACTTACTTTGCACACTATGCATGGTGCACATTCACCCTTGTATATCACAATCTGAAAATTCCAGATCAAATGTGATTTCAGATGAGCTTCACAGATTAAAATAGAAATTAAATCAGCCTTTTCTTGGATTCAAATCTTCTCTGAAACAACTAGGAAGAAGTTATCTCGAAAACTGTAATAAATTCTTCTGCTTGGCAAATCCAGAAGAAAAAGCTGCAGTGAGTAGAATCAGAAAGCTCCATGTCTTTTTCCTTTGGAAAGAATCAATCTCTGTTCTTGCTGAGACTATCAGCCCATTTCTGTTTCATCACTGAATTTAGCTGGCTTTTTTTCCTTTTTTTTAAAAAAAGTCCTCTGTAGCTTGCACGTCTCTCCAAGATAAAGATCTCAGTTTCATGATTAACTTAGGCAGGTTCAAATATTTGCTGAGCAAGGGATCTCAGATGGGGGAGGGGAGCTGGAGTCAAAGTCAGAGTTGTCACTGGCTAACAAGTGGCCAATGCAAGACTAACCGGTCTCAGTTTAGCTAAGTAAATGAGAAGACCATTGTAAGTAGCCTTAAAACAGTTTCTATAACCAGCTGCTCTGTGCAGTGTTGAAGGAGACTGTCAAGAAAAGCATTATGAGCAGCCAAATACAGGAAGTGGCTAAGCTAATTCAGGAGGGGGGGGAGAGATAGAATGAAAGACATCCTTGTAAAGTTTACTGTTCAAAAAGCCCACAAATTCAGAAGCTCATTAGCATTCACGACACCATCTTCCAATAGACCACAATGACAGGTGCTGTCTGAGGACTCCTAGATGAAGCCATATACTACTGAGTCAATTTAAAAATCAACTTAAAATCTAACTCCTCCCCCATCTCTTGCTAGCTTCAGCTTCCACAGAGCTTTTATAAAGAACAATCTTGTGCATCTTTATTTGCAAGTACTTCCCACGGTGTCCAATGGGGCTTGTTCTCAAGCAGATGTGCCATAAATTAGATCCCTAAACAAGGGCATTATTTTGGTCAAGTGAGGTCAATAGCACTGTGCAAGATAAAGATTTTAACATGAATGTTATTTGATCAAATCCATTTCACTATATCTGGGTAGAAAGCATGAATAAGAAATTGTTTACCTCCTACAATCAGTGTAAATGGATGTTGAACCCACAAACTTTCATTAAAGTAAGAAATCCTCTTACAACCTGACAACAGAAAGGTGGTGGTGGTTTGGGGGGGTCGGGTGGAGGGCAGCAATATTACAGAAGTGCAGGCATACCCTAAGTACCTAATCTATAAATCCATTACTCTTGTTTCATTATTTTATTTTACTACTTAATGAGTGAATTTTAGTTGGTTCTCTCCCTCTCTCTCTCTCTCTTTGGCAAACAGACAAGTATTCTTTGGAAATTAAACAAATAGAACAGAATAGAATAGAATAGAATAGAATAGAATAGCTGGAAGGGACCTTGGAGGTCTTCTAGTCCAGCCCCCTGCTCAAGCAGGAGAACCTATACCATCTCAAACAAATGATTGTCTAGTATCTTCTTAAAAATCTCCAGTGATGGAGCGCCCAGGATTTCTGGAGGCAAGGTGTTCTACTGGTTGATTGTCCTC